GGGACTTCGTCATGTGCCCCGCCCCCTGCACCTCACCCGTGGGAACTGCGTTCCCCCGCGTTCCCCCCTGAAATGACCTCTGTATGGCACTGACATTGCGGGATTATCTACTGGACGGTATCACCCCCAAGGGAAGGACCTAAGGAAATGACTGATGCCATCAAAACCACTCAAAGACCATCTTGTTTACAGAAAGCACTTTATTATTGTTATTGTTACTGTTATTATTCATGATTTTATTGTTTTATCTGGTTTTATGTATGGGCTTATGCCCCTTGTAAGCCGCCCTGAGCCCACTTGCAGGGAGGGCGGGGTAAAAATGCCTAAATAAATAAATAAATAATGTTTTAATGGGAAAATATGCAAATATGATTTTATTAACATTAAATGAGACTGCCAAAAATAAGAACAAAAGGGGTAAAAACAGATATTTATTGCTAATGATATTTATTTGTCCAATGATATTTATTTGCTTGCTAATAAGAGCCAGTTTGGTGTAGTGGTTAAGTGCGCGGACTCTAATCTGAGAGAACCGGGTTTGATTCCCCACTCCTCCACTTGCACCTGGCTGGATGACCTTGCGCAAGCCATAGTTCTGATAAGAGCTGTTCTTGAAAAAGAGCAGTTTCTGTCAGAGCTCTCTCAGCCCCACCTTCCTCACAGGGTATCTGTTGTGGGGAGGGGAAGAGAAAGGAGTTTGTAAGCCGCTCTGAGACACCTTTGGGTAGTGAAGGGCGGGGTATAAATCCAATCTCTTCTTCTAATGATATTTATTTGTCTAAGAGAGAAAGAGAGAGAGGTGGAAAGAAAGAATGAAAGGTGGAGAGAGAGAGAGAAAATAGATTAGGGGAGGGAGGCGGAGGGAGGGAGGAAAGAAGAGAGAAAAAGAGAATGGAAGGAAGAAAGGGAGAGAGATAAAAAATGGAAGGAAGAAAGGGAGAGAGATAAAAAATGGAAGGAAGAAAGGGAGAGAGATAAAAAATGGAAGGAAGAAAGGGAGAGAGATAAAAAATGGAAGGAAGAAAGGGAGAGAGATAAAAAATGGAAGGAAGAAAGGGAGAGAGATAAAAAATGGAAGGAAGAAAGGGAGAGAGATAAAAAATGGAAAGAAAGTAAGTGGAAAGAAAGCAAATAGATGGGAGGAGGGAGGGAGAGGTGGAAAGAAAGCAACTTTAACTTTAAATCTGTTCCCCAACACCCCCCACGCCCCCCCACTGACTGACTTGGCTTGGAGAAGGGATTAAAGAGACAAATGCCTTCTCCTAGCCATACCCACACAATATGAGTGAAAGAGCAGCATGTGGCTCTGGAGCCACAGTTTGGCCACCCCTGCCCTATAGGCTGCCTGCAGGCTACCAGACATGGAAAGGAAGGATAAACACTGCAGCAGCTCCAAAGGGACGAGTTTTAAACTCAGTCCCTTTTAAGAAGTTGTCTGTTTCTGTCCTCTTAAAAGTGGAAAATGTTTTACTTCCTTCCTTTGTCATCCACCTTTCGTGCACAGGTTTGGGGGAGGGGGTGGAGAGGGAAGCTAACTGTGTTCCGTGTCGTGGAATTAGGGCCTGGCTTGAGCCTCAGTCCCCTGCTAAACCTGTCACTTTAATTTCTACAGTAAATTAGCCTCTATAGTTGAACATTTGGTTCAGTTTCCCAGGAGGCTTCAGGACTGGGCTGGTGCTGTGGCCTTCTGGTACCGATAAGCCTGTACATGGTTTTTGCCTTAGAGGGTGTTTATGCATTCCAGGAGTTAGTGGTGGCACTATCAGAGAGAGCCAGTTTGGTGTAGTGGGTAGGAGCGCGGACTCTAATCCGCGAGAACCAGGTTTGATTCCCCACTCCTCCACGTGCAGCTCCTGGTGTGACCTCGGGTCAGTCGCAAGTTCTTTCAGAGCTGTTCACTCAAGGGCAGTTCTCGGGAGAGCTCTCTCAGCCCCACTTACCTGACAGGGTGTCTGTTGTGGGGAGGGGAAGGGAAAGGGATTGTAAACTGCTCCTAGACTCCTTTGGATAGTGAAGGGAGGGGGCATATTAATCCAATCTCTTCTTCTAAATAGATAGGGTATCAGAACCTAGCTTCCTTGCTTTTCTGAGAGCTTCCCGACCCCGGAGATAGGAAGAAGGGGAGGGATTTGGGTCGGGTCATCGGGTCAGTTCTAGTTTGGCCTACATCACATCCATGGTAGTCCTACGTGATAGGTACGTCAGTAGGTACATTAGCAGCTATAGGTCCAAGAAAGATATATACCTCTGGTTTACTAATGGTCGGGGTTGCTTATCAATGCCAAGGATCCTTGATGCCGTAGCCAGCATATATCCCTTATTTGTCTGGGTGTACACTGTACATTGAATTATAAGTATTGAATTGAGAATTACAAGTCGATTTTGTATGCTGCATACAAGATTCATATGTGTTTGGAAGGTTTTACATTTTGGGTTTGAAGTTCAATAAATAAGAGGGTTGGGGTTTTTTTAAATTACTGTCTCTCTTTCTTGATGCAATAGGGATCCCTGCCAGTTTCTCTCCCTCCCCAGTGATCACAGTGGGGATGTGGGAGTCCATGAAAAGGTTCCTGCACTCCTGGTTTTCCCCAACACTTAGGCAGACAGAACGGTGCATTTCTAGGGGCACGGCAGTTCAATGATGAATTGTGTTTGGAATCCAGGTTCTGATTGCCCGAAGAGAGAGGAGAGTGCTTAAGGAATTCCATTTTTTCTCCCAGTCATTCAATTCCAAGTGCGCAGGGTCTCTGTCTCTCTTTCCCCCCTTCCAGGTCCATGCACTTCTCGTCAGCTTCATGCGATCACAGACAGGCTTTCCCCAGAATCTCATCTGATTTGCCAGGTGAAGTTCAGCGAGAACATCCCAGACATTGAGGCCAGCAAAGTTTTCCACGTTCAGCCTGAGTTCTATGCCGACAAAGGTGGGCACACAATATATCCTGGGCTAGGTATCACAGGCCCGCTCAGCCAGCAGGCCCGTAGCTACAGTGGGGCATTTCGGGGGCCCTGCCCCCCTAATTAAAAGCCCTGCCCCACAAATAGTGGAATGGGCTGCCTAGGGAGGTGGTGAGCTCCCCCTCCCTGGCAGTCTTTAAGCAGCAGCTAGGCTTACCAAATCTCGCAAAATCGCGGCAGGGGATCCGCATGTCTTCGCAGAATCCGTGCCACGGGGACGGCAAGATGCTGTTTGGAGCCCCGTTGCCAGAGCGATGCATAGCGTCACATCCTGGCGATGGCGGGTGCAATGAATCTCGCCGTTCCTGCGGCACGGATTCTGTGAAGACATACAATCCCCCACTGTGACGTGGCAACCCTAGCGGCTGGACACACACGTCAGGGATGCTCTAGGCTGATCCTGGGTTAAGCAGGGGGTTGGACTAGATAGCCTGCATGGCCCCTTTTAGCTCTGTGATTCCATGATCCCCACCCCTTTAACAATCACTCTTGGATTTCCCTTCTCCCCCACCAAGGTCTCTACAGCTGCACCATAACGGCTAAACCCCACCCAGAGGAGGACCTGCTGGTGCTGAGCACAGCCGAAGCCTCTGTGTACGTCACGGCCTCTCTCCGCAGCGAGCAGAGCCCAGAGGTGGTGCCAGGAGTCTTGGTCCCCTTCTTCCCCGCCTTTTACATCAACCAGTCGGAAGTCGTCTTCAGCAGCCGGGAGCTAAGCAGTGAGATCGTAGTGCTGGGCACGAGGAGGGTGATGGAAAAAATAGAGGTATGTTGGAAGCCTGCCAGACAAGGGGGCGCAGATACGCACACGCTAGAGATCTGGGGAATGAGATGCTGGATCCAAGGCCCCACCCTCTTCCCTTTCCCAGATTCTGCCTGTGATTTACAGGGCTCTTTTTGTAGAAAAAGCCCAGCAGGAACTCATTAGCATAATAGGCCACACCCAACATCAGAAACTCATTAGCATATTAGGCCACACCCCTGACAGCACAGCTCATTAGCACATTAGGCCGCACCCCCATGTTACCAGAAGTGTGGTCATCCAGCCACACCCTCCTTTTGCTTGTTATTCTGTTTACCTTGTTTGTGGTCAAAACCCAGGGCCTTTTTTGTAGCAGGAACTCCTTTGCCTGTTAGGCCACACACCCCTAATGTAGCCAATCCTAATGAGTTTCTGGTGTTGGGTGTGGCCTATTATGCTAATGAGTTCCTGCTGGGCGTGGCCAACTCGGGAGCCAGCCGGAACTCCGTTCCTGTGCGTTCCTGCCCCAAAATAGCCCTGCATATAAAGTATATAACTGAGATCGACGTGACTGGGAGGGGCAGGGGAAACGGAGAGGAGGCCCTCACCCCAAGAGTACGGCCAAGACCTTGTTACCAGAGGAGGCACAGCCAGGTCACCCCTGCTCCCAGACGCTGTAGCCACAGGAAGAAGATGCTCAGGTCTTCAGGGCTATTCCCAGGACCGACAGTTGGGGCCCAGTTCCTGGCTGATAGACCGCTGGCTGGTTCATTTGATCCATACCCCGCTGTTTGGCTCAGATCCCCAGCTCCCACTGTTTGCAAAATACAACAGCTTTCTGAATAAATCACAGAATCATAGACTCACAGAGTGGGAAGGGGCCACACAGGCCAGCTAGTCCCAACCCCCTGCTCAGTGCAGGAGCAGCCTGGAGCATCCCTGACCAGTGTTTGTCCAGCCGCTGCTTGAAGACGGCCAGGGAGAGAGAGGCTCACCACCTCCCTCGGTAGCTGATAAATGCACATTTTTTTGGGGGGGGGGGGGGGCAGGGGAGACTATTTTTGGGGGGGGGGGGGGGTCAGATGTGAGCCAGGACCAAGTTATGATGGTGTCTTCCACTACCTCTCACTCCTGGTATAGGAATCTGTGGGAGGACTTCTAGTGTCCTGGCCCCGCTGGTGGACCTCCTGATGGCGCCTGGTATTTTTGGCCACTGTGTGATAGAGTATTGGACTGGATGGGCCATTGGCCTTATCCAACACTGGCTTCTCTTATGTTCTTATGTTCTAATCCTAGTCTGGGTTGGGGAATGCAGGAGGAAAAGTCATCCAGGTGCTTGGGGTTGGACATGTAAATGTAAATGGATCAACGTACCGGATGAGGATCGTTTCAGACTGGAGCCTGCAATAAACTAAGATGCCAACTCTGTCCCCATATTCACTCTGATAATATAGTCACCAGATGTAACCTCACCAGCCATAGTTCATCTTCCAACATTATAAATGCCACCAAATGTCAGCAATGGGCATAAATCCAACAAAAAAAATCACAGCACTCAAAAACCAATGGGAGAACACTTTAATGTTCCAGGACATTCCATTGCTGACCTAAGAGAGGCAGTCCTTGAAAAAAGAAGCTTCAAGGGGAGATTATAACGTGAAATTGCAGAATTTCAGTTCATTCACGAATTCAGAACAATGGATCCCCCTCCCGGGTTGAATAGTGACATAGGATTCTCATCTCACTGTAGATGCTTATTTTCTGCCCCTAAGCATTTCTCTGTTGCTCTAATGAAGCCGATTACATTTTGCATTGTACCTCTGCATCCTGGCAAACCCCTGCTTGTTCCGACAACTAAATGCAACTGTAATTTATTCTCCTGGCTATAGATTTTGGAGGATGAGGGGGGAGAATGCTTAGACTGTACCCGAAAGACCCTCAAAAGAGCAAGTCTAACATTTCTACACAAACCTCAGAATGTATTCAAAGTGGATAATGTGAGGCCATCATATAAGGCGGAGTCTCCTCCAGGCCAGCTTCCAAGCCCGGCCCCTCCTGGTTTTCTGCCACAGCCGACACTTGTGCCGAGCTCTGGTGCTTTCCTGGTCCACTCCCATGCGCTGAATCAGCCTGCTTTCTGCTTGCCAAGGTCCAGCCCAGTTCCCCGGTGATCGAAGTGGAGCAGCCCTTCCAACTGCTGGACAAGCCCGGGCATGTTCTGTTCGGCGTCAACGTGGTCAACCTGACATCTCTCCAGCAGATGGCAGCACCCATCTTCATCAACCTCTCCTGCACCCTGACGGGCCAGAAGGCCGCAGTGTTGGTGCGGGTGCCCCCGGGGAAGTATTTACTGGGTAAGCAGGCCCCCCCCCCCCCCACACTTGGGGACGCACGTGT